TGTTCCCTTTCGCAGTAACCGAACCAGCAGTTACATTTTGGTTCATGCATCACCATCCGGGAAAAGGAAATTACCAAGAAGGGTTCAGTAAAGAGTGGAAACGTCGCTTGGGGCAAAAGCAAACGTCCCGAAATTCAAATCTGGCCCGCCATCGATTAATTATCCCTTGACGACGTGTAAAATTATACATGAACGGCGAGCAAGATTTGTCACAAAAATAACACAGCAAGTTGCATTACATTACAACACAATCGACAGGCAGTATAAACAGTGGCAGATCGATGACCTGAAAGATTCGACATCTATACACACTCTTGCCTGACTACAAAAAAGATTAGCATATTCATAACTTTTCCCGCGGTTTCTCCCCGTCCACATACGGCCTTTTTTTTTAACTTAGGGGAACAGCTCTTCCTTAGCCCGACTGCCCCTGGCGATTCTGCCGGAAAACGCCCGGTCTCTCAAGCAATCTGAAAGGTTTTCACCAATGATTTCAATTTTCCTCATTAAAAGATGGGTCAAGTGTGGGGATTTGCGCGCGAACGTGACAAAGGAGGGTTTACTCATCGCGCCTAGCAACTGGCGCCTTTTTTTTCTTCACCAAAACAATCGGCAGCTTGGCAGACGGTGGTAATTTCTTGCCCGTCAAGAAGCAATTGCGGAGAAATTAAATTAGTTCGATAGGGCACTGCACGAATATTGATGAGACCACATGCTACATGCTGCTACCAAACTGTATTACAAAATTATATTTTGTAATATAAAAGCCCAATAAAAGTACAACCTATGCCATCCTACTTTAGATAATTATTGGAAAATACAAGTTCCTGTAATTTTCTCATTTCATTTTGTTCCGTTGGGTGCTAATTTCCTATTTGTAATTTAAAATAAAACAGTACATTGTTCAGTATTTTTCTTTCCTATTTTCAGCTTTTTGATTCTCTTTCCCACTGTAATCGGTCAACCATTGTTACGAACGTCAACAAACATTAATTTAAAATGCGCTTTAAATATTTGCCTTCCATAATGTTTTGTTTACCTATACTGAAAAGACTTTCAACGGATATTTAGCTTTTATGCTTCGACTTTATTGACAGACGTTAATTGCAAGATCCACAAATTCCACAATTTCAGAGTAGCTATTTTAATGGCAGTGCATACATATAGCAAAGTATACGGACTTTGGTAAATATTGGGATGGTCCCTGTGTCCTAATGACGGATGGAATATATGAAGTTGTCCCAGAAATTAATTTGCTGTGATGTAATTAGCAGTACGTGGATGTGCATAGTATAGTATGGTCAGAAGGGCTGGGCACCCGCGGATATTTTAAATAATTACGAGTTCCTCATGGTATCAAACTAATCTGTGCATTATGCAATAGATTTTAAAGACAGACGAAAAATAAAATAAAATCAGAATCTCGTTGGTTGATTTACTCATAATTATGCCTATCCTATAGTGATACAAAAGCATTGCCATCTAACTTCGCCTCAGGCATACATTATAAACTGGTGATTTGTTCCCTTCATTTTCTTGTGAACTTCATTTTCTTGAAAATGAATTGTATACGGATTTACAGCCTACAGGACACGAAAGCCGTAATGTCGTGACCACAGAATTGATGTCTTCAGAGGTTGGACGGAATTAGAAGCGAATTAACTTCGATGGTATTATTTTTTTTTTGGAAAGACAACAGGGTGGTGTAAAAAGAAGGAAACCCACTTTTGACAGAAATTTTCACCTATTTGTTGAGCATTTTTCCAAGAATCTATTTAATGGTATTAAAATATTGATCTTAAAACATAAGTGACGAAAAATTGATTGCAATTGCATATTATTTTTGTCTCTGAGATATGGTAGTTTCAACATTTCGTGTGCCAAACCTGTTTGTTCACGGACGGCTTTCCTTCCACTTGACTAAGCCCCGTACCCTGATTTGAAGACAAAAAAACACTACACTAGACTTACACGTGGACAACAGTGATTTTGGTGACTTGTATTCAAATTAGCATGATAACATTATTCTTGCAATTTAATTTTGTTTTACCACGTACGGTTGAAAAGCTATACTTCACTACATTATGAAAAAAAACCAGTTCAAATAAGTTATAAGTAGGTTAAATTCCTGTAAAAAGGGGATTTCCCTCTTTTTGCACCACCCTGTAAAACTAATAAAGTGCAAGAACGCAGAGTAGCCCTCACTAAATAAATAAATATATAAATAAATGGAATCACAAAACAAAACATGACGTCATCAAACAAAAAATGACGTTATCAAATACGTCACATCACGTTTCCCTTTCCAGTTATTTCATCTCTAGATTCTAGACTCATAATGCACGTATCTACGGTAAAATATAACAATGGTTGACACCTACCGTTAATGTTGACTTCTTAGCTCCTTCGGCCTCTTAAAACTTGCAATACTCATCGTTCTTCAACGTTGCAAACATCGGTCTTGAAACTTTAAGCATAGCATAGGCAGAACATCCATTGGTACAGACTATAATCCACTCGCACACTCTGTCTGTCCAAACGCTATCGATGAAGTTTAATGGCAAATGATGTGGTCAAAACGAAGGTCAAAATGTAGAAGTACAAGGTCAGTCATCGAGTTAAGAGTCCATGAACAAGTTCTCCTCCTTTGAGAAGGATTCTTGTAGCTCGTTAGGCCTGTGCTGAAGTCCCGCATCGCGAGGTTTGACCAGTTTGGATCAAGTTCTGTTCGGCCTAAGTCTTTCGACTCAAACTAAAAGTTCCAATCAAAGTCGGCAAGTCGGCAAGTCGTCAAGCATAATTATATCGTTGACATTTCTTAATAAGAGTTCTAGAAATAGGTCATTTTCATGTGTTCCTCGGAAGTTGTTGCCTTTTCCTGAAACTCACTCAGACAACTGCAAAAGACAGAGCATTCACAAGCACTATAGCGGCCATCATTGAATGTACTAAACGGCGTTTTTGTACAGAGACTAGAGATTATAGTGAACAAAAGGCGCATACTTTTAAACAAAACGCGCTCTCTCGGATCGGGGTGCAATGACACTGCGGCACGCGCCGGCCACAAAACTGACCAATGAGAAGGCGCCTTTACGAAAACCAGGTGTTTTCCAATTCAAAGACCGTGGAGATCGCTCCAATGCGCCTTTAGAAAAACAAGAGATTGCTCATGAAGATAGCGCTCCCCAAACCGGGTGTGATAAACTATAACATTGCTTACTGACCATTTCACACTTGTTTACGCGACACAAACTTTCACTCGGGTACAGAATGTAAGAAATGCTCCGTTCCTTCCACATGTTTGTAAATATAGTAGTTCAGTGGCGCACCCAAGGGGGGGGGGGGCTTGAGCCCCCCAAGAGGTTGTCAATATGTTTGTTTTTGGGGGGGTATTTTTTTCTAGTCCCACGATTTGACCTTGGTGATATGTATGTGGCCTATTTTCGAGTAGTATAATAGGGATTAAGTGGTGCCACCAACGTCAAAATAGTACCCCCCGAAAAAAAACCCATTTTTTTCCTGCGGCCAAAATTTTTCAAAAAATTTCAACTTTTAAAATTATATATATATTTTTAGCCCCCCCCCCCTCCCCAGCCAAATCGGTGCACCACTATGGCAGTGGCGTATCCAGTGTGTGTGTGTGGGGAGGGGGGAACTTTGCCCCCCCCCCCCCCCCCCGGCGGATTTTTTTGACAATTTTTTTTGTCAGCAATGATTTGAAGTGTTTATAGAGTTCTTCTGACATCAATCCCACCAAAGAAAACCCGCTCAACAACCATTACCATGCGCCGTGAAATTGTCCATATAATAATATAGTATACATAATAATGGTAAGATTTGAAGAGTGCCCCCATTTGGAAGATGGGTACCAGCCCCCCCCCCCCTCCCCCGCTTTTTGATTTTACGGAGGGCAAGTGTCAGGAGAAAAAAACATGTCTACATTTCGGCGCAGATGTGCGGTTGCCCCCCTGGCATCAAAAGCTGGATACGCTGCTGCACTATGGTAATTATTGTAAACATGTTGGTAGTACACTGAATAACGATTATGGGAGATTATGGGTGACTGCGTACTTTACATTCAATCTTAATTACTAAACAGTTAAACAGTTTGGTTTTATATAAACGGTGACATCCTTGGAGGCAATTTGTTTAAAAATGAATTTAAAACAATCCGAAAAATTATTTTTTTTTAATAGTGAATTTAGGTTTTTGGGGGTTAGCTAAAGTCTTTTTTAAGGACATGTACGCATGGCTATCGCAATTGGCCTAAGGAGAGCTATTGTGTCTGCAAAATCTCAAATAGGATAATACGTTTCCCCAACAGAGAAAATAGTCGGTAACACCCCCCCCCCCGCCTTTCAATTCCTTCTATTTTTATCCCCTTTGGAAAGAAAGTTGGCTGTGTGCCTAACAAACACAATGACAGCCGCAAACAGAAAATTTACATCGTACAAAACACATTTCCATGTGCTACTTCCTCCAAGTTATACAAAACATTAGTCTAGCCTACATTATTTAAAACTGAATCATTGACATGTCAGAAACAGAGTGCATAAGTTATTTATCGCGTTTATACAGAAATTTAATAATATCATTCTCATAAAACCATGAATATATCTTATCATGTAGGCCTAGATGAGAATTGTGTATAGTCATCTTATAGTCATTTTATGGGGCGAGATAGAGTGATGATGTACAATGATGTACTATTGCTATTACCTTATGTACATGTACTATGGCCCATGACCTTTTTTTTCGTGGTTGTTCTTAATATGATGGGTGCTTTAAAATCATGCTTTCAAATCCGTCACAATGTGAACAGATTTGATTTGACACTTTACAGTTTTGTTTCTCCGTTTTGTTACAATTTGTTTTACATTTTACATTTGTTTTGCATTTTAACTATAGTGAAAAAATGACCAGAACAGACTTTTACAAGTCTAACTGTTGACCTCCTTTCTGTCATGGCCGACTGAACCTCCATAAAACGTTTCAAAAGCTGTGTTCGTAGTGTACCTTTAGGCTGCATACATAATGATCAATATCCAACCAACCACGATACATGGCGACGCAGTTGTGAAATGAGGAAGTACTTCCTGATGTAAAGAGCATTATAAGTTGTAACACTACACGTCTTGATTCTAGACGTACAAGAACAGGTAATACCTGAATGTTTTTGGCAAGTTCCAGCAACATTGAAGGAGTTCAAGTTGTGAATGAACTTTTCTTCAAATTCTTGAATCTCATCGCCGAAAATGACTTATGAAATCCGACTACAAACCTGTACGTGTACTCTACACATTGCGGGGATGGTCCTTATACACGAATCGTAGTGTTTGTATTTTGTGTTGACCTGGAGCCACGATTATGTACACAACTGACACTTTGAGGATTTGTTTGAAGTGGACGTCGTTGACACCCCTAGCCCTCTGTGACCTGTAGCTGTACACACTTCGTGCTAGTTCATGCCAATAAAAACTGAACATGCACCGTCATGTAAACCACTGTAGCAACACAAGAGAAAAGACTTCGACAAAAGAAAGAGTGCCAAAAGCAACTTTAGACCAGCCGCAGCAGGTGGGTGCTAACATGGAACGTAAGACGTCTGCAAATTAACACACCAATGACTCCATGCCAGCGAATGCTGAAAAACGACGGAGGATATTATTATAGTCAACAACTGGAGCTGTGAGTCCTTGCTGATTGGGGAGGGCGTGGTTGATTGAGTAAATAGGCGGATTTGGTTTACCCAGCCAAAGGTATAACATCACGTCTTTGTAGATAAATAATTGCTCTTATCATTGACCTCACCAAAAGGAAGGGATTCTATTTAGTATCTAGTCAAGAGTGTTTGACAGCAGAAGGAATTAAACAACCAGAGGCCGTAGGTTCAAATCTGGATTCTGGAAACGGTCAATTTCTATAATCCACCTGTGATCATTAATTAAACCCCACTTCTTATGTTCCACTTGTGGTTAACTATTTAGCGTGCAAATTTTTCCAAAACTGTCATTGGGCGAAGAAAAGTTCCTCGGTATTTCACAAACCAAGTTTAAACTCAATTCAGTTTTTAAAGGAGACTTTTCTTCAATATTTGACAGTGGCTCGCACAAGAGAGGGAAGTCAAGTGATTTCAAAATGAGGCTAAATACTAGACTTCTGCATGTCCATCCATGGTCCACCTGTTTGACAAGACTGGCTTCTTCATTCATTGTCATTAGTCAGGTGCCTGACTATGGAGAAGTGTGTAGAAATAGTGACCTAGTACCCGACATCCCGAGATATTTCTTTTGCAAAGTCAGCTGACAATTGATTGATGCAGTACTGAAGAGCTGTTGGACTGGTTGTTTCAGGTGCCAGTCTATTTTCTTGTATTGTATGTCTTCAGTACCTTAAAGTTTTGGGACTCTCATTCACAGAATTGAGAGTCCCAAATTTTCGGACAGGTGTCACTGTACTTGGCTGTGTATGGATAAAAACGCTTCAAATTTACTGTCCTTTATAAGTACAATAATTTCCAAATACACAGACGGAAAAAATCAGCTGTTGATTCGTGTTATCTTTTGTTGTGTTTTTAAACACAGGTGCCGGTACACAGTGCTCCCAGCTCAAAGGATTGCGAAAATCCCAGCAGCGGATGTTGGGGATTTTCTTCAGATTTCGCAATCGAGATAATTTCGATTTGCACTTTGGATCAGATGAAGGCGACAGACAAGTGTCCACGGTCACAATACAGAAAAACAACTAGTACAAACGGAGACAGATGTTTTTCACAGTAATTGCAAGTTGATGATCGAGGTACTGAATTCGATTATCTTGAGAGTTTGCAACTTTAACAGACTGATTATATACCAACAGTGTTATTAACATGGAAACTGGGAGTTGGGTTGGCGTGGCAATTTTCTGTAGCATCGCCATCATTCTGTTGATTCTATTGATCGCTAGAACCGTCTACCGGGCCTGGCATTACCACAACTGTTGCAGCTGGTGTAGGAACATCAATCAGGGTGGGGATTCAAAACAGAAAAAGACTGAGGGGATCGCCAAGGAGCTGCAGGCAATTAACGACAAACAGCGTGCCGAGCAGGAGGCAGCCAGAGACTCTCTGGGCCGGACCAACTCACAAACCTTTGACCCTCTGAACCCCGATAGCTTGGAACTACCGATCCACGGCATTCATTATCCTGACCCGGGGGAGGAGATAGAGGAGGAGGACACGCCCCCAGGCGGCCACAATGATGACTTCCGCATCGTGAATGTTGGTGTCGGTGAACCCAACAAAACACCTGCGGTGTCCGAGAGAAAACAGGATGCCATCCCCGATCAAGAATCGGTAGAAAACAAAGAACACAAGTCAGAGAGTTCTCATCATTCGGTACCAGAAGCTGAGAACAGTCGACCCGACACGCCCACCAAGGAGAACGGGGAATGCCAACACATTCAGACGAATGGGGGCGTTCCTTCAGAATCTCATAGCAAGGATGATGCCATTCTCAACCAAGAAACAGGGGAGTTCACTGAAACTAAGTCCAATGGCGACGTCACGAGAGCTGAGAGCAATCAACTTGACACGCCCACCAAGGAGGACAAGGGATCCCCAGAAAAACTGATGAACGGGGGCGTTCCAGATCCAGAATCTTACAGCGAGGAAGATGCCATGCCTCCCCAAGATTCGGGGGAAAACCCAAAACTAGTAGAAGACACAACTCAAGCTCATGGCAAAGATGAGTTGGTCGCAAAAGAGACCCCAGATAAGGAGACTGGCATAGAAAACCCGATGGGGGTTGATGACTCGGAGCTGCGCCCGATATATGTCTAAGGACATCACTCAGCCTTGCTGTTCAGAACTCTAACAGTGTTGGCAGGCGTATGGAATACCTTAATCATCAGTGAAGCTTTATCCTTCTTTAAAAAAAGAAAAGAAGGACCTTTTGTTTTAAAAGAAGGATTGAGCTTCAGTGATGGTTTTAACACAATTAGTGGGCCTGGTGAGGGAGAGAGGTGGGCATAGATGTGCCAGGGCCGTACTTAAATCTGAACAAAATTATTGTTTTTACGTAAAGTTTTATTTCGTTTTAACAGTACTACTTTCTACACACACCGTGAGGTTTACGACTGTCAAAAAGGCTATACTCACACCTGTATTCCATGCAACAAAACCTGTTTTTGTGCATAATCAGTTTAAAAGTTTCCTACCACGTGATCCTCAACATATTCGATTTCTGTTCTATTTAAGTATACATTTTCAACTTGTATATTTAATTCCAACAAAAAACCTCCCTTCTTCCTTTTTGGAGGTATGCAAACCTCTGAAAAAAAAGGTTTTTGTTTTGTTTTGGGCACAAACAGATCCGCTTTGCGAACAGACTGGCTCCCGGTCCGTACATAATCGATACTGATTGTGGGTCGGGAACAAGCCTGCCCCGCAAGATCAGGAATTATTGTCAGGCCGCCAATAATTCGAAATTGTAAAGTAATCATTCAATAACTAAACATTGGCCGATTTTGTTCGGTCGATATCTCATTCAAAATTGAAGAACTCTTGCTAGAAAAGTTGAGAAAAGTAATCATTTTTTTTGGGAATGAAACTCTAAAATAGCACGGGGAATGTATTATTTTTCTTTGCATGATCGTTCCAGGGTTTTTCCCCGGGGTAGGCGTCGAGGTCTTTGTGGGGTGTGGGAAGGGTGGGGAGGATCAAAAATTCGATTTTGTAATCAATATTGCAACTCGAGAGTCGTTTTTGTTACGGCTGAACCATGTGTTTACCCAGAGTACGATTATATATTATATCAAATTACGAATCGAACTTCATGTTCAAGTTACAAAATTATAAATATCATATTTTTAACTACTCAGTTCTTGTATTTGCCTGCCACGCACTTTCCTCATTCCAATATCTCAAGAATATTTCATGCTTATTTGTGCATTGTAAACAGATTGGGAGATACAAAATGACTGTAAAAAAATCACAGAACAAGTGTTTTTTTTTGTAAATGCAAAGTTTAAAGAAAAAGTACTGACATATTTCATTCTGTAATCCAAAACAATCATAATGTATATTTCTACTCAGAAAGAAACTTATTAGGGTTGTACATTGTGAACAATGCACATTCACATTGATTGTTAATTAATGATGTATTCTGTGATTGATTATAGCTTATAAATGTTGTTTGTATTGTATAAATAAATGAAAAACATTATTTTTTTTTAAATAAAGCATGCTGCTGCAAAGATCACCTTTGGGAATACAAGTTGTCATATTTTGAGTGAAACCACTTGTTTCTGTTGTCAAAAAATGCAAAAGTAGACGCCAAGCTAGGCTTAACCAGTTTCCTGAAAAACACAAAACTTAATAGAAATAGCTCTTCAGATTAGAAATAACCTTTTCAATAACGAAAAAAAAACCCAGTAGGCCTAAACTTTAGAAAAACCTAAACTTTTATCAATGTCATGCAGTGTTGAAAGCAAGCGGCAACGTGACTAGAAAAAAAAGTGAGAAATGAATTTTACACAAAGTGCGTTTACAGTTCAATGACTTTCACTCAGTTCAATAAATAGCGACATCTGTGAAGTACAATGCACTTTCAATACTTTTTTGTATCCCTTGTCCTCGGTGTTCACGTAAGGTACATGAACTTTTTTTATGCAAAAATACAAACAACAACCGTTTAATTTGTGTTCTTTAAATTCTCTATTGACAAAGTGATTCTCTTTTTAGCTATCAACTGGGTAATTTTGGCAAAAGCAACAAGTTTTACACTTTACACATATCTGCTGATGATCCCTTTGTTTAACTTCATAATAAAACAGAAGAGCGCCCTCTTTGACACATCAGTCCCAAATATCAGATCTATTTCTGACGCTGCATACGACCTTTCTTAATTCCAATTGTCTGTAAGTTGTAGTTGTGAGTGCTCAGAGATAAATGGCATTGGCATACATGTATTCACCAACATTATAGCAGTGTTATGGTATTAACTAAAAAAGTTGGAGTACCAGTAACATTCGATACAAATCAAGGAAAACAATTGGGCATTATGTTTGTTACACTTATTCCGGTGTAAATATTAATTAACAATTACAATAAACATAGAAAGATATTAGTATCTGAGTAACTTGCGGAATTATATACATCAAATTAATGAAACTATGTGATTTTTTTTCTTTTTTTTTACAAATGTAACAAGTTTTTTTTTAAGTTCTTAAAAAAATAAAAATAAATGGTCGACATTTGCGCATTCAGAAATCTGACGAAGTAGGATAGCTAAACCTTCCAAACAGGACATAAGGGCATTCACTTTCGTTCCTCATTAATAGTTAAGTCAGAGTTCTAGAATCACAATTTTCGAACTGAAGACATGCCAAAGCAGGAAGCGAGACCTCAGCCCCTCCCCTATGCCAGTCGTGGCTTGGGTGGGTTTCCTCTCATGAATGGCTTATGATTTGCAGCAACAGCAGCACATGCAGGCGACCATGATTATTAAAACGACTACAAAAGCGCCAGCAGCGATGCCAACGATCGCCCCTGTCGATAACCCCTCCGAGGCTGGCGATTCGGTGCCCCCTACCACCCGAGGAGCGATGGGGCAAGACAAGGCCAGCTCCCCTACGGCGTAGTCGGTCGAGAAAGACCAGCAGTCGTACATGGTCCCGTCGTCCGATGCGTTGACACCTCGCGTCAGCTCCCATCCTTGCCGTCCATCCCTGCGTGGACCCTTTGACCAGCCCTCAGGATTGCCTGCTCGATTTCCCCGCCTGGTGACCACGGGGACTCGGGACTTGACCAGGGTGCCGCAGGATAAGATGTCACCAGGAACGAGCGGGTCTCTTGACGAAGCACTCGGAGTGCAGACCGGGAAGATTTCTGGGGAGTGCACGGTCAGAGCCAGCTCTCTTGAAGAGATCGTCTTGGTGCTGCAGAGGGCGGTGCCGTTGTCGGTGCTCATCTGGACGTTGCAGCGGTACAGCCCCTCGTCCGAATCGCGAACAGGGTCGATGACGAGTCGCTGGTGGACGTTACCTCGACGGGATGCATTGGAGGCCTGGACCCGAGACACCAGAATCCGCTGATCGGCAGGTGCTTTCAGCGTGCCAGCCTCTGCCAGGACGATCCAAGACGCCGATTTGGAATCGAACCGAGTCCAAGTCACGACGTGGGAGGATGCCATGTAATCTTGGATATCGCACTGGAATTTCACCGATCCACCTTCCATGGGTACGGCCGTCTCAGAGCCAGATTCAACCTTCAGGAACATTGCCAGGGTTTTGTCTGGGTCTTGAATTGGGTTGGAAGCAACGTGTCGTGCTGCCAGAGTGACAAGCAAGATATAGAAGAATGCGAATGCAGACAGTGCCATCTCTCTCTAATGAACAACTTACAATCTCTTGCTTACGGAATTCTCAGAAGTGAAATAAAACCAAGCTTGATCTCTTCCCGATGACTTTATTTCCAGTTTACCCCTGATGGCTCAGAAGAGAGTACAGTCATTTGGTACTAGAGTGAAGCTGCTCAATTTCCTGAACTTGAACTAAGTGTGGATTGTAGTTGCACACTCTATGTATCCGGAGACCTTGCAGGGTGGTTTACAAATCCAATGTGTACCAGAGACCGACAGTGTCGCAGAATATAACAAAGGAGATCAACTTGATAATGAACTTGAAGTCTTTCCAATGGGTTTTCCCCATGCTCTGCAATTTCCTCTTCGTCTTCCTCTTTGGAAGTTTTTTTGCCCATAATGCATGCATATGGCATCATGCATGACCCCCTAATTCCGGTCGGGACGTCCCAGTTATGTGCCCTTTTTGGCAAGGACTATTCTCGGTTACTGTGTACTCTGACGACCTTATAATGTGACATCCAAACCACATATCTCGTGATTCGCGTAACGTGTATGCAAGAAGGGAACTTCCTGAACTTGATATTTTTATTGTCTGGATTTCACCACAAGAAGGAAGTTTTACACTGCAAATGTATCATACGCGCAGCTATAGTTCGTTACGATTTGGGGGCTTGTCCGCAATTCAAACCATATACATATCTGTTAATTTTTAATATCCACCAGCAGAAAATGAACACTGCTTTTCATGTTAGGCATTGGGCAATTAGGAGAAAACTGTTTTTTTTTTGGGGGGGGGGGTACAAAAAAGGTGGTAAACATCTTGAATTATGTCGATTCCAATGTTATCACGTCAGGCCTTGCAGCGGGAGCCCGCTTACCACGGCCGCCGGTTTTTTGTCAATGTTTAGCTTGTTCTCATGATTCACCATCCTGCAGCGAAATACACAGGAATCACTCGGCTCCAAACTCGTGTCAAATCAATTAGGTTACACGAGAGCAGATTAAAGCGATGGCTTCTCACCCATAAACGGTCAGGTCGTCGTCATCGTGTCTCACTCCCACCAGACGGGACACGCCTACCCATTTCCCTCCTGTCTCTACTGTTGATGCGTGAGATGAGTCTTCTTGGAGTAGTCTGGATCACATTCACTTAAATTAGTAGGGACTTTTACAGTAATTGGTTTGAATGTTATACCATCTTTATAATGTGCTACTACAAGAAAAAGCAAAGAGAGAGAGAGAGAGATAAAAAAAAAAGAAAACCACGAGGCATCTTCCTTGAACCACTCGCAGCGGAAGGTTCTGAAAGTGGACAAGATATTAAAACTAGGGATTTGAAGGTGGAGACATTTCTTATTTTCAAAGGGGGAGCACCTTTAGCTTTTCCCGCTTCTGTCGCCAATGTCTTAAATAGCTGGTCTAGACTGTATCGCTAGAATACACCCAACTTCAACGGATACCTTCGGTATTCAAACTGAAGTATGGATCTTAAGACAGGGCATTCCACATCCCTTGAAACTCCCTGATACCAGAAGTGCGCCCTCTGTATGGAAATTGTGTCAAATGAACTCAACGAGGCCGGACTTGCTGAAGCCTCGAGTTTTTGTTCAAAGACAATGTGGATGACATGCGTGACACATGAAGCATTGCCGTGAAAAGGCCCTCTGTAGTCTGGAGTTGATGGAGGCAGGAGTTCGTCCTGGTAAACCGGGGTTCCATTAAGATCAAAATTATCTGTAGCGCCCTCAGAAACCCTTAATCAATAAAGCTGACATACCGGCATATTTCTTAGATATGGAAGAGTGAATCAAGCGTTGCACGGTAAAGTTATTTGACTGCTAACAATTGGTATGGAGCTGTACGTTATATTTACTTGTTTCTTATCATTTCTGATTTGGATTCCCCCCCCCCCAATTCTGCACTGTCATCTATACAACATCATCTTCTCGACCAAGTCCAACACACTTTGAGAAGAGCGCCCTCTTGCTTCACACCCACTGCCTGTCTATCTGACGTCATAAATTGTGTTTTGGGAGTAGCCTAATCCATAATGCCACTTGTTAATCCCCTAAACTAGTCGAACAAATCCCCAAACAAACAAATTTCTATGTTTTGGAGTTGAGGAGTCCCTAGAAAAACTCAGCACCGATATCGAGGAGGTTGGCGGACATGTCTGTCATCGCCAAGATCTGTGGCAGGTTATGTCAGATTAACACCGACTTTCCCGCCTAAAATAGCACGTCCCGACCCGAGTCGTTTACATGTTCAAGCCGCTAAATGTGAAAACAGCGGGGCGCCTGAGAAATGAAAACGTCCGCACGATATAATTAAGGGAACACAGAGACTGAACCCGAAGCCAAGAAATATGGATTGTATTATTTTTCAATCGTTACAAACATTTTTAGATAACACGTTAATTGTTGTTTTTCATTTATACATAAATAAGGATTCAGAAGCTGGCAGAAACATACATTTATATTTAAATATGCATGAGATCATGCGACTAAAAACCTCTCCAGTTTTACTCAGCTTTATTCACACAACTTATATTGTTGATTTTTGTGGGGTGAAATTGAAGCCGGTTGCGATTTTCTCCTGATAATTATAAGAAATCTGAGTGCAGTTATGACAACATTTAAACAACCTTGTGCATTCGCTGCCTTATGGCATGATGCATACCTCTTAATGCAGGTGACGTGTTTCCAAGGTAACCAAAAGCTAGCCACATCATGAACACATCAGTCCAAGTGAAACGTTTGGTAGATGAAGTTGTTACAAATCCATTGTAAAAAAAACTTCTTAAAAGTGTTTTTTGGGACTCTCTTGGGCCCGACCAATCCTGCGGCGGCAACAATACTTGTGGGTACTACTGCAAAGGGGAGTCAGGTTGGCGTAGC